CAGTCCAGCAAACCACTCACTGTCATTTACATAAGACTGTTTTCGGCGGGGTTACAACGTCACGACGCTCCCTAACTGCCCAGGTTAAAGGAGAGCAGAACTAAAACTGGGATGTCCAAAGTTCTCATGGACTTTACAGTTAGTGTAATATAAAAAAAACGACGCCGTTTTGCGGGGTGGGCGGGCGTGTTCGACCAATGCTTAAGCCGACAAAATCACATCGTCAAAAGTAAGATCCCGCGTTATTGTTAATGCTCTAATGAAAACTTGAAAGCTTTGCTTAGAAACTACAAAATCAAGTAATGGACTTATGGGTAGTGTGTTCCACCACGCACTCTTTAAGTTTTCCCAGACGAAGTGTTGTATGTTGCTTGGAAAAAATCGAACCCCTCGATTTTGGTAATCCGCACCGTGGTCGATAAGCATCTGACAAGCGTCATGAAATATTTGCATAACGGTCGGAAAACCGCATGCATGTACGCATACACGTCCGCAAGCACAGCACCAGGTATGTAGGTGTGCACGTGTGTATGTGCAACATTCAACACTCACGTGGACCACTCAGAGGGCCGGTCAACAACGCATACAACAGATTCAACAGAAATTAAAGGGCACCAAAACAGTAATCGAAGCACTCGCGGAGATTTCAGGAACCGTTGTGAGGCGAAGAACCCGAAGTGAATAGTCAGGAAAATGTCAATCTTCCTATGGACACTTGGACTCATCTCAGGTAAAGCTGATTGGCAAATACTAAGCGGATGAACAGGAATCATATAAGAGGCGGTTCACACTGAGGGCGGATCTCGATAATACCTTAGAGGACGGAAATGAAAGCGAACCTTTGATCTGCGTCGCTACATATGCAGGCTTCCACATATTATGCGGCCGATGAATAAATCAATTACAGAGTAGGTGCATCACTAGCCGAAAGAATGTGCCAGTGAAAAAAACAACAAAACTATTCCTCAATACATGAGTAGTGTAATATTGACGGGAGAAAGTGCGTAGTATTCCGTGACATACATAAGATTTACGTGGGATATCCAAAACACGTGGCTAGCAAGAAACAAAACCGAAAACCGGGAAATAGGTCGCGGGAAGATGGTAAATGGACTGTTTTTCAAAACTAGTGTGCCAAAAATATCAGGTCAACAGATCACTGAACAAGAAATGTTAGGCGGTAAAGAGACTTTCGATAAAACACTTGACCACGCCCATTACTGAAAACCAACACCGTCCGACAGAGTAGGAGAAC